GGGAGGGAGGGAGGGAGGGAGAGCAACCTGCATGGGAAGCAGCTATGTTCATTCCAGACAAGGGAATTGACTTCCAAATGCAAGGAACAGGAGTGATCCCCCAACTGCTACTCTGCAGGGGTTTCAACATGAGGATACTGGACAGAGGACAGAGATCTCAACAAGAGACAGCACTTACAAGTGATCCGATAGCTTCGATGTCAAGCGACTGCAGCCATGGTGGTAGGTTGTCCACAATCGATACATCGTTTTCCAGGTTATGGATGAAAGTTTCAACGTCAAACATGTCCCTCAACTGCCTTCCATGTATTCACAGCGCAGCCAACACCCCATCACAAAGTCAAGCAATCAGAAACCGCAGCTTCAAAGGCATTTTAGTCTCACAAGTTCACAACCTTAGTACTTGGGAGTCTCACAATCCATTGAACAACAAGTAAGCTGTGCACGACCCCGCAAGAGTTCACACTTGACTGTCCAAAAACCCTGCCCATAGATTTGGCAAATCTACAGCTTGAACCGGGGTCACGCGCAGGGAGGGAGGGATGAGGGGGAAATTTAAGGGGAAAACAAAAGGAAAACAGGGGGGAATTCAAGGGGGAAACAAATGGAAAACAAGGAAAGATGTATGCTGCTGTCAAAGTTTTCACACAGTCCAAAAGACAGCACCATGTCAAAATCCAAAAAACTGCAGCTCGACTCCAAGCATGCACTGAGTCCACGTACAACAACAGGTAACGCCCATAACTGGTACACCGCACTCCAGTCTCCCGTTTGGAGACTGGTAATCTGGTAATCTGCTATAAGACCAAGGATCCGACGTTCTGACAATCAATAACTCCGTCAACATCTGGATTTCAATCACTCTCACTCCGGACTGTCTACAACGCAATGCATGTGTCTAACAGTGCAGATCCAATCATAAGACAAGTTTTCGTACATGACCATTACATCACCACCGCTATTAGGTTCGTGAAGTAGCCGCTTGCCCATCATCCCCACCACGGGACTTTTGCTTTCCCTCTCCTTTCCCCTTTGACGGATGTTCTACATTGTGGAATACCTTCTTCCCCTGAGCACTGCGCAGGGATAGTAACAGGGTGGTGTGTTCACGGAAGAATGTTGGACTATGTGCCCAAAAACACTGACTCAAGAAGGAATGTATGGGCACCAAAGCTTCACTCAAGGCACGCTATCCTTTCTTTTCTTCTCCCTTTGTTTACCAGCTGTCCCTACTTCATTGCCATGGGCTAGAAACACAACTCCAGCCTACACCTTTGACCTGCACAGAACACACAGTCATCATGATTAAGTTCAAGGCACTTACTGGCCATGCGGTCCTCCAAGGGGGCAAATAATGTGTAAGGGGGTAAACTATGCACCATGTTTTTCTCATCTATCATCACCACTTTCCTGATGTTACCCCTCATCTGACTATCAATTTCATAACGGGACAAGGGTCTTCTCCAATCCCTCACTTAGGCCTCCGCTCAACCTTTGTATGGGACTCAACTCCTCTCTTAACTTTCATGTTGTTCCCATCTCTTACAAACCTAAGACAAGGGCTGCTGTGAGATTACGGTACCTGTCATCTTGCCAGCCTCCTTCGTAGATTAGCTCAGGAAGTACAAGAGTCGCATTCAATAAGCGTGCCACTGCCACTGCATTGCACACCTGCCTGCCAAAAAACAAGAATCAGCAACCACTCCCCTCCCCTGACAAGAATGGTAGTAAGTCTGAGACGAGACTGTATTGTCATGTTCACCATATACAACTTCACAAACAAGCATGGGGAAAAGTGATAGACCCCCCCCTGTGACAAAAGGTTTGTACTCGTTGTCCCCCCCCCCCGAAGTTTCAGAGTCCCCAAAAGGCTTGAGGCGCTGGGGGGATCCGTAACTTTTGGCACCAGCTTTTGGGGGCCTGTCAGACCTTTTGCCACGGTCCGGGGGCAAACGAGTACAAACGTTTTGTCGCGGGGGGCATCTATGACTTTCCCCAAAAGCATGGCTGAGTGAGACTGTTTCATTGGACTTTCCACGGCTCATCAGGAGTCGAACCCCGACGAACTGCCCATGATCCATCTGACTGATGGACAAGGACCTACCACGTCGCGTGGAGTTAAAGATACTCCTGAGAAAAGTGGCCAACTTTACTCACAACAATCCTGCTGTGCGTCTCACTGTAAGTAATGTACTTTGTATACATATCTTGCATTTAAGTGTGTGAGTGTCTGTCTGTGTACATGTATTTTGTATACATACGTTTACATTAAGTGTGTATGCACACACACACACACACACACACACACACACACACACACACACACACACACCAAAGCATTTCCTGCCAACCATACAGACAAAAATGGGACAAGTATTGTGACAGATTACCTGGTGCTGGTGGCTGACAGTACACTAGCATAAATGTTAATAAACAGATCCAGAGTTCCAAGTACGAGGCCATTCTGGTGTCGGTGGTGCCCAAACGGGCCGCCTATGGAAAAATGACCCGGCGCTAAGTGAAGACCAGGCTTGCAGAAATCCGCCTGGCCTTCGGGAAGGCTGTCGTGAGGCAGTTGGAAGGGCGGCTGGGTGCAGCCTCTCCAACTAGTCGGTAGGCCCAGCTTCGACCTAAGTGCATGCGGCCAGGACCTTGAGCACCGATGAAGGAGAAGGCTGCAGAGACTGAGGGCCATTCCACACATTTGGAAGCACTAGCTCCGACCGAAGTGCATACGACCAGGACCCTGAGCACCGATGAAGGAGAAGGGGAGGAGCAGATATGGCTAGCTACTACCCTTGGCAGAAGCCATAGATACGCGAAGGAGGAAAAGGGGGAATCGGGAAAGAAGGACAGCAGTGGGAACACGTGGACTTACCTGGCGATGGCCAAAGAGGACACTCAGTGTGGTCAGACTACGCAGCATAATTACCTGGCGACAGGAGTGAACCGACAGAAGTGAGGAGAGAGAGAGAGAGAGTAGGCTGGGTATACCGAGTGAGTAGGATAGTAGTACAGGCGGTCACATCATAGGCGAGCTACTACATTGTGGTTGTAGTGCGGAGACGAGAAGTTGGGCTTTCATTATCAAGAGACTTCAGTGTCAGTGCGTACTCATTTGTTGTGCTCTTGGCTTTGTAACTCTGTTTTCGACTTCACGTGTTCTCCTGCATAGGAAACTTGTGTTCTCATTGATTGGTTCTTTGCATTACCCTGTCAGATACAATGAATTTCGGCACTAGATTGCACAGTGGACCACCAACACTGCCATCAGGGAATTCTGTGCGTAAGTGTGGACACCTGGGCTAACAAACACGAGAGCTTCCGAGACAACTTGCAGTCAGAGCCTAGCTTGTGCATTCAGACGTCCTGATTTAAGTTCGCAGTAATCGGAACACAAAAGGAAGTCCAGTTCTGCATTTCACAAACTGATAAAAAGGTTTGGATGGAAGCTGGGGGGCTTTAAACCACCAGTACTTGGCCCAGCTATCGGCCGCGGGCATTCCCCGTTAACGCGCCGACACCTTCGGGGGTCGGCCAAGGGAAGGCCCGGTCGCTGCTTGAAGGCTGGGCCCCGGTTCACTCGGTACAACACCACAGAACAAAAGAGCAAAGAAAGAAAGAACAAAAATTCAAATACACAAAAATTAAAAAAGAAAGAAAACGAAAGGTAAAAAAACAAAGTCACGTGGGAGGGAGGGAGGGAGGGA